TGGTTAGATGGAAAACACGGAGTCGGAGTCCCGGAGTCGGAGTCCCGGAGTCTGACGTCATAAAAATATGGAAAACACGGAGTCATATGGAAAACACGGAGTCTGACGTCATAAAAATATGGAAAACACGGAGTCATATGGAAAACACGGAGTCTGACGTCATAAAAATATGGAAAACACGGAGTCTGACGTCATAAAAATATGGAAAACACGGAGTCATATGGAAAACACGGAGTCTGACGTCAGAGAAAAATATGGAAAACACGGAGTCATATGGAAAACACGGAGTCCACCATAAAATATGGAAAACACGGAGTCTGACGTCAGAGAAAAATATGGAAAACACGGAGTCTGACGTATTGTCAGCGTGAAATATGGAAAATAGTAATTAAATAATATATAATTTATGCGAAATATATTAACGAATTGGAAATTTTCTGCGCTAATTCTGGTATTTCTCTAAAATGTCGTGAAAATATGGATTATTTATTTTTAAATACAATCAAGCAAATAATATTGTTTCTCTTGTCGTGTGACTTGTTCAGTTGTACAATAATTTGAAGTGATTTTAATGCGGATTTTGTTCACCTCGCTGGTCCTCGAGGACTCCTCGCATGGTATGTTGATAAAAATATAGTTTTATATATACTTAATACTGCTAGAACATTTCATAGTCGATTTACATGTAATATTTATAACACACAAAATCTTGACACAAAACAGATATGCTGCTTGGAAACAGCGTGCAATATTGTTATTTACTAATAAATAGATGCAGCCAGCCAACACACAAATCCGTGCAGTATATTAATGGCATTAAAAAAGTTTTCAGGTGTCCAAAAAAAATACCTGCACTATAGTGGTAAGTCCATACCAAGTTAATATCTCTAACATATAAGTTTTAGGTTTTTATACTGAATTAAATATCATGCAATATCATAAGTTGCAATTAATCAAGCCATTGATATTTGAGTGATCAAGATAGGTATTTATCATAGACGGATTTTGTGGGGGGTGCAGGGGGTGCTACCCCCCCCCCCAATATTAGCTATAACCCCCCAAAATGTCCACCCCTCCAAAAAAATTTTCAAGCCCCCCCCAATATTCGGCATAATAAAAAATAATTAAATAATCCACTCCAACGTGCAGAGTGTTGATGATACAAAATAAACGTAGGAGTACACTCAAATAGAAAGCAATATTATTGGAGCAATTGTAAAGTTTTGAAACTCTATTATCTCCCCTGAATAGAGTTTGCAGTGCCTTGTCATGCAAATAGCTTGCTTGCAAGGAACGTTTGGAATTTTTACAAACATTATTTTTCGTTTTTAATTCTTTTAGGTTTGTAATTCGTTTTTAATTCTTTTTAATTTTTTAATTCGTTTATAAAAGTAAAAGCATATTGTGTATTGGCCTATTGGGTTTACACTTTTACAGGTTCATTTAACTTTAACTCTCTCAAGTCTCAACAGACAATCGGACACAGGGCCGTAGCGAGGGTGTGTTAGGGGGGGGGGGGGTGTGGTTAACCCCCCAACTTTTGTAGAATTAACATATTTGGAAAATCGGGTTGGCCATTCGTAAAATTACGGCAATAATAGTGTAACAAAATTTTAATTGTTTAATTAAACAGAAAAAATATTATAATATTATAATCAGTATAAAATGATTTACGAAATCACGGCATTTACATGGATAACGTTTAACAAATCGTAAATCGGTAAATTTTTTTCGGTTTCGGTACTTCTCAGGGCCGTAGCAACCGGGGGGGGGGGAGGCAGCACCCTTACAATAATTTGCTGATAATCAGTCTTTTTTCAAAATCATGCACACCTTTATCATAAACAATTGATTAATTTTAAGCGGCTACATTATCCATGACAAGCCGCAAAGAATTATATTACCCATTCTAAAAAGAACATCTATAACTTTTAAAAGAGTAAATACAGATTATGTTATCCCTGAATATTTAAGCACTATGCTAGTAAGGAACTCAGATATTCATACTAGAAATACTCGCTTTAATAATATGAACATGGTTGCATGGTGTGCCCAAAATACACTAGAGAGACTGAAGGTGGGCGCACTTTCACCGTTAGAACTATTAAAGATTGGAACGCCCTCGATGTTACATTGCGCAAACAGAAATCTATATCTATGTTTAAACGCAGTTTGTATACTAAAATTCTAACGGACCAGAAGTCCGCCATGCGTTTAGAAATTGCTTAGGTGGGTGGTGGGTTATTTTATTTGTAAATATAGTAGTTTTAGAGTTTTAGTATTGTATTAGCTTAATTGTAGTTATGTAAGGAGGGCCACGAATTTATCAGTAGTTCACACTTACTGTCAAGTGTTTACCCTCATGAAATAAAGTCTTAATAATAATAATAATAATTCTCTTTCCTGCAACTTCTCCAATATATAGCTAAATACGACTTCGCCCATTTAATTCTGCTAAATTGTAAGCAAATTGTAAATTTCGACATACTAAAACTCTATTAACAACTCAAACCGACTTTACCACGTAGCTCAGTTGGCAGAGCATTGGACTAGCATCCCAAAGGTCGCGGGTTTGTTTTCCACCGTGGGCAAGCTAACATTTCAGCTTGCCCGGTGTGGATCAGTGGATGCATACTCAGAGTAACATCACAAACATATTCACTTGAGTACACAACACCAACACACACACATAAATCATATCAAAGATTACACTGATGTCGAAGGAACTAGATTCAGTTCCGAAATATCAACAAGTCGAACCGACTTGACCACGTAGCTCAGGTGGGTATCCCAAAGGTCGCAGGTTCGACTCCCACCGTGGCCAAGCAAACTTTTCAGCTTGCCCACTGTGGATGCATACTCAGAGTAACATCACAAATATAATATTAAAACTTTGTTTTCTGACCGTCAGAATTCTGTCAAAACTTCCCCCAAAGTCCAGGAAATGGCATTTCAGAGAATCTCAATTTAAAAATTTCCTCGGGCCTTCGGCCCTCGTTCCCAGCCCCCAATAAAAAAGAGCTTCCTACGGCACTGCATACTTCTGCAATATGTCTTTGTGGAAACTATGTGGGCTATGTGTATTTTTGTTTGTAAATTGCGTCTTCATTTTCCAGATAGCAAACACCTTCATTGCTTCGTATGCCATGAAATATTCGGAAATTTTTTTCGTCATTCGGAAATATTTGGCCTACACCCCCCACCCCCCAACTATACATGCTAGCTACGGCCCTGATCGGACAGGCCAAATCCATTGATATGACAACTTCAAAAAACGTTTTTTCGAAGCTAGAAATCATGATTTTTTTCAAATTTTTCCAGGGATACTTTGTTTTCTGCTCTCTAGACTCCCCCTCGCGGCTCTAGTGCTCCACCCCTAGAATATAGACCTTACTGGGGTTTGGTGACACTTTGTGTTGCTTCAGTCACCTGCTCACGGCTCACCCCCCTAAAATTTCTGGCACCACCCCAGTAAAAAATATGAAAATCCGTCTATGACTTCATGTTTGGAAAACATAATAGTTTTGTCAGCAAGGCGAGGGTTTCTGCATGCATGTATTTTCTTATAGCTTATAATAGACATTTGCTGTATTCTATATATACCAGTATTGGTATTTTTATTTTAATAAACAGTATTGTTTGTGATGAAAACCAGAAGTGGGGATCAGTCACTGATCTCATTCATCGTCTGGATCGGTATGGAATTGCAAAGCTGCAACCTGCAACCTGCAAAATTAACCAGCCGTATCCTAACCAGATACCATGAATTTATTGGTTAATTCTAAAATTTTCCACATGTACAAACTGTATCAAGGGGAATCACAATTAAGTACAGTATACACATAAGACATAATTTGTTATTAATTGTGTAAGATATAAGTTTTGAAACTCTCCAAAACTTCAAGCTGCTAAATGTTCTTTGCACAGTATTTCAGTCGATCATCAAGTAAAAAACCTTTTGTTTCTATTTTGTTTTGAAGTTTGTGGTTCATTAGGATATAATGATTCTAGCATATTCTTACACTTGGATACCAGTTTTGGTAAGTGTAAGAATATAGGCTAGATTCATTATATCCTATGAACTGCAAACTTCAAAACACAATAGAAACAAAAGGTTTTTTACTTGATCATCAACTGAGAACAAAGAACATTAATTTAGCAGCTTGACATTTTGGAGAGTTTCAAAAGTTATATCTTACACAATAAATAACAAATTATGTGTTATGTATATACTGTACTTGTCATTCCCTTTGATACAGTTTGTAAATGATGTGGTAAAACTTATATTTTACCAATAATTTCCTGGTATCCAGTTAGGATACCAAGGTTTTGATATCTGGTATTTATTGCTACATAAATTGAAAACTGGTATCATCAGGATAGTAGGATACTGCCAATCTTGAACTCTGACTGTAGTGGGTATGGGTCTGAAATGCTGGGTCTGAAATTTGCAAATAATGCTTAATGTCGTCTCTGGTGGTCTCGCATTAGCTTTGAATAGCCTTTGATTTCCAACTTGGTGGTCTCGTTGTTGACTGTTGAATCTCCTATTGCTATAATTGTAATTTATAAGAATGAGAGACATGTACTATATACAGTACTTACTCTGATGGTTCAGGGATGCAAAAATTTATGGTAATCAGTATCCAAAAGTGGAATTAGAATACTGGATTCTCAGATGGGATACTAGAACTCTGAATCCTGGTCTCCCAGTCAGGGGGCCTGTGGGGCACAGGAAATGTTTGAATTTCAGACCCTGTTTGTGTGTGGGGAGGGGAGGGGGGAGAAGGGGAATTTGGCCTACCTGTAGAAAATTTGCCACCTATCAAAAATGCTTACGAATGCACATGATTAGGTACACAGACTGTTATTCCAAGCTTTATTATTTATAATTTTTTCTCCTGAAGGATTGGTTTTGTACGATATGTGTTGAAAAACGAAGCATCGCGTGCATGAACCGAAGGCAAGAACAACCCTCCGAAAATTCATGGAGTCGAATAGAAGTCAGAAAACCGAAGAAAATGTCAAACAACAACCTTGATGCGTCGGGAAGTGCAGAGCCGAGTGAAGGAAGCCTACCTTCTACTCCTTCGTCACCAACTGTTCCAACTGTAGCGCATAAATCACCTACAAGAAACAATGTGTCCACAGCGCACAAACTCCCACCAACATTCTTGTCTAATTCTCAAGTATCTGGGCAGGTACCATTATCAACAACACATCCCACTGTGAAAGCTCCCCCATCTCCCATGGACCATTTCCCCTTAACCCCCCTCCATGCTTGCCAGAAAACCCTCCGCACAATGCAAAGATACCACTTTTCGTACAAGTACCAACATCACCCAAATGTACCACAGTTGTGGCAGAAACTACCAACAATAGACCATGAGGACTAAGTCCTAATTCCCCAACAAAGACGTTACTCTCGATACACCCAGCCTCACAAACAAGAGTATCAGATTATGAAGACCGCACCAAAGCTATTTCAACACTGCCCAAAACTGCAGCAAATAAATTTGGGAAATTCACGACTATGGTGTTGCAGTTTCTGGTTACGATAGTAACTCTCGGAGGTTTGTCTTTCATTTTTGTTGTATTGCTCGGGGTGGGAGGAGTGGGGCAACCCCCTCTCCCAATAAAATGAAAATCTTGAAAATCTTTGAAATGATAACTGAATAATTGTGCAACAAAGCTGAAACAATCATTTCAACCATGAAAGCATTGGTAGGCTATAAATTAAGCTATATATTGCGTGAAATTTAGGGCCAGAAACTTAGTTGAAAGAACTAAGATTTCCAGCTGCATACAAAAGGTGGTCATATGTTGGTATCCTAAATGTCCTTCCCCAATATTTCACAAAATGTCTGCCGCTGGCCTCTTTAAATTAATTGCTACTGAATAATAAGGCTCACTTAGACTTGGAGATTTGAGAAATAAAATTTGCCATCTGAAAAGGCCATGGTAAAATTTTGAAATAAGTAAAGGTTACCGTACATAAATCCGATCAGGAAACAATCATGCAAAATAAAGTTGCAATAGGTTGCCGGTTTTGATAACACATATCCCTGAATTTTTATTTTGTTTTTCCTTTAGGCATGTTTGAGGCTGGCATTCCAAAGTGTTCATAATATGGAATGCTTAAAGTATCAACCATTAAAGTAAGTTAGACCACAGTTAATTGAAGGGGATGGTTAGGCTAGCCGGCAAACTTCAAAAGGGGCGGCAAATTATGTTGAGGTTCAAAGGAAAAACTAGTCACGTGCACAATAAGGTGCATCATGTTGATTTCCGGTTGATTTCAATGTATAAAATTACAGTGTCAAATTACATTAGGCTGTATAAAACTCTCAATAGTGGGCTTGTTTCACGCCTAAAAGGAAAGAAA